TTCTGCACAATTAAGCGACTACTGGAACAAACCAAGACTTGGCTGGCCATCATTGAAGGAGACTCATACTACTGTATACGTATAATAACGATGGCTCGCCGATCCCCATAGAAGAAATTACGCTGTTATACCTAAAGCAAGTCCGCCTAAAAGCTCACCGTATACCCATCACAATTAACCCGAAACATGATCAACGAACAGAACTGTAACTCGAAGCGCAACGAACAGATCAGTCAATAACTAACACCTAACACAGCCCATAGATATATCTATGCACAGCCTAACAGCCTAACAGCCTAACACACGCATGCACGTGCGCGGACGTACACGCATGCGCGTACGTACACGTGTGCGTGCAAGTACATGGGGGGGGGGGTGTAAGTAAACGCGAGCGCGCACGTACACATACATGCATGCAAACACATACGCGCCTGCGTGGCCGTACACGTTTGTACGCACACGTCCACGTAGACACGCGCCAGTAAATACTGGTGTATGTACATTCGGTCAAGAGCATATAAAGAAGGCTTCTTTATATGCTCTTGATTCGGTGCATCTACACGCCGCGTACAGGTACGCGCATTGGTGCAGCAGGCAGGTACACGCATAGAAAACACATACACACTACACATACCCACGCAAGCAAACTACAAGTTAGCATGTACACAAAGACATGTACGCAAACACAGTAGTTTATGAAAACAATTAATAGGAAGAAATATGGAGAGCTGATTTATTTATACACATTATACAACATATTATTTTTTGTTATACACATAATACAATACAATATATCAGAAGATATACAGCAATTATATCCTGCTAAAATGGTAAAATTACCATTACAAACCTTCAAATTAGAAAAAAGTTTAATCGCACTCATTTTAAGTAGTATTTCTACTTTACTAGTTTCTCTACTTCTAGTTTTTCTACTAGTACTATTTTAATTTTGCCCCATCTCCGTCGGGGGCCATATATAATTATAGTCCCTGTATTCACCAACAATTTCTGGTGCCACCCCTGCCAGTTAGTAATAGTGTCCCTCTCCCTCCCTCCCAATACTCCTTATTTTGACATCATTTCCCTCCTACTATTATCACGATACTGTGGAACATGAGTCAATAATCAATACGTGTGTCACTTACATTAATAATTTTCATTTTAGAAATATTTTAGCTGAAAGATTTTCCGTAGGAATATCTTCGTTTACATATAATGGCAATCAAGCGAACGGTAATCGTTTTTTCTGGGACGTATACTTACGTAACGCGGGTACTAGCAAACCGTTTAATATCAAGAGCGTATAAAGAAGGTAATATGCCTAGTTTTTGCGCCTATATTCACTTGTAGGGTTCATAAGGTTAGCAACTTTATCTGTCGGTCTGAATAACCTAACCCTGAGAACAATATATATAAATGTAGAAAAATAGAATAGGGTGTTAGATTTTTATAAGCAAGCGTTCGAGAATTGTTAAAATTCGTTAAAATGACAACAGAATTGAAACGGTTAAAATAGGTAACCGTACGTATATATGATATAATCAGGAGTCTATCAATATATATATATATATATATATTGATAGACTCCTGATATAATATATATAAACATTTTAAGCGTTTCCATTTTGTTGTCATTTTATAGCCTGATAAAGAGAAATAATTATCAAACGCTTGCTCTAACACCCTATTCTTAGCTCAACTGCTACTTTGCAACACGCAGACTCGCCGTGAGTACAAACTCACAGAAAGAAAGTTTCTAATGATGCTGCGTTCCGAATCTCCTGTAAGGGCTCATTAACTTGATACCCGCACTACCTTTCAGGTCTCAGCAGTGACAACAATAAAGCCCCACTCACAACGCCATGTGTACATTCGTAGCTGTTGCTGTTGCTTAGAAAAGCGTTAAGCGGAAAGATGTCAGAAACTAAAGATCTTTGCGACAGTTTCAGCAAAATATACGAGAAAGCACTATTGCTTGGACTCGGCGACAAAGATCTGAGCGCTTTAGACTCAGTAAAGCGCTTACGTCGCGCGTGTAATCACAAAGCAGCACCTAAAGTGCCCAAAAAGATCGTCATTTGTGGTGTTTTCGTAACGATATTGGCTATTCTTCTTGGGATCATTCACCTAGAGTTCTACTCACGGCGTGGACTGGCAAAGTTCTGGCTGACGGTATACCACAATTATAATTTAGAAAGGGAGCGATGTATTTTCGTAATGCCGGACAAGATGGTAGATGTCTTCCGGCCCCCGGTTGACTGTGGCATGTGTAGAAACGTCACAAGTGTCGACAGAGTCAGCAACCTCAGCCCCTCTGTATTCGAGGAGATGTATGCCTACAGTGGCCGCCCACTCCTGGTTGCCGATGGAACTCAAAACTGGACGGCGATGGGCTTGTTTACATTTGACTTTTTCAAAAACGTTTACGCGGAAGATAGTCCCGTGTTAGAAAACTTTGAGAAAAACTGCCAGTTTTTTCCATACAAGACTGAATTTAAGAATCTGCGTCAAGTTTTTCAGATGAGCAAGGAGAGGTCACAGATGACGGATGGATCGAAACCGTGGTACATTGGATGGTATAACTTTTCTTCCACATTTAACTTTTCATACGCAATACGCAGTCTAGCTCTAGGACTATAGCCCGCGTTCATTTAACCCGACCAGGCTGTGTGACTAACGTCAATACTAACCCTAGCAATACCGTTTCCTGGAGCTAGCGTTCATTATGCGGCAGTTAATGAACGCGGGCTATAGTACTAGAGCTACGCTCATAATAGCCCGACCAGGCTGTGCGACCGATTGTCTATACAGGGTCTTCTAACCCTAGCAAGACCGTTTCTTAGAGCTACGCTCATAGGGTCGATGTCCCCCAGGGTACTGCCGGAACGTACCTTGGGTACGGTCTGGTATACCGGAACGTACCCTGGTAACTATCTGATATGGTTAGGGTTAGGGAGTAGGCGTAGGCGACTTCCTAGACTCGTTAGTGGAGTAGGCGAGGTACGGTTCGGCATATTAGATAGTACCAGGGTACGTTCCGGTATACCGGACCGTACCCAGGGTACGTTCCGGCAGTACCCTGGGGGACATAGATCCTCTCAGCGTCAGTTACCGTTACAGTGGCCTGCGGCAACTGTACGCGGGCTATAGTCCTAGAGCTATACGCAGTCCTACTTGAATTTCTCCTCTCCCTCCCCCCTCCTCCTCCTCTGCCTCCCCCTCCTCCTCATCCTCATCCTTCTTCTTCTTCTTTGTACTTTTCTTTTGAATCCTGTTGATGAACATGGACCCTATATGGTATGTCGACATGTGATGTTGGTGATTTTACATGTTAAGTGCAAATACATGGATGTATGAGAAAATGTACATACTTTCTTCAGAATTTCACAATCACATTCAGTCAGCATGAGATACACATTTAGATATCATCTCACTCTCCCATTATGAAGTCATGGCCTTAATGCACCAGTCAATTGAAACCCCGGCCCCCCGACCCCTGCGACGGCAGGGAATTAACGCTGCCACAGCCGAGATTTAACGCCCATTTAACGATATAGTAGCCCGTGGTGGCCAGCAAATTAACAAGACGTTTTACCAGCGTGGCCATTTAGCCGTGATTTAACAATGAACAGCTCGCACCGGATGTGGAGGACTCGGCGTTGCAAAGTATGCAGTACTTTACCAATTGATACGTTTATTGGAAAAAGGTGTCACATGTCAGAAATTCGCATAAATAAATACCTGGACTTTACGAACCAGAGTTTAGTTTAGTTTGGAATCTGAGAAATGATTCCTGGTTATAGCCCTGGGCTTTTAACAGACTACCTGCCCCTTATAGGTGGGGAAATTGATGTTTTCAACACGAAGGAAGTATTAAATTCCCCGCCTTTTCCCAGGGGTCGAGGGGGCCGGGGTTTCAATTGACTGGTCTCACGGTGCATAATTCTCACTCGTTTCAGAAAGAGAATTTTTTTCTCACTTAAACACAATTACAGGATAATGGTTTCAGCACAATATGAAGTTACGTCTATTTTGAGAATTTGCTGATCCAAAAAGCCAATTTATAGTAGTATAAATTCAGCAAAAGCGGAGTGCTTAGTGTACAATGCAATTTCGGTCACAGGTGTGTGATACTTGTGTTGGCCTAGCATAAACAGCCATAGCTCTACCGGTGTAGCTCCCTTCACTCCTGCTACAAGGACATGTACAGGGACTGCTACCCTGTAACGGGAGCGAAGGGGTTACAACCATAGAGCCAAAACAGCTATAGAACCTCTTATTCATATGTCCCTCTTGAAATATTGTTATTGGATTGAGTGAGCACTTGAGGCCATCCTTAAAAAATTATATGTTTGCTGTCTTTCGACCAACCCACGAAAATAGCCGCAACCCAAAAGTTTTTTTTTGACATTTTGGGTTCAATTTTTTTTTTTTTTTACATTCCTCATAGTTGAAACACAAAGCATGTGTGGCAAACATGAGGACAGTCTTAAAATAACTATTATGCCTCACACAAAAAATCTACCTACCTACCCACTAAAAAAATCATGGGTCGGGGGACAGCAAACATAGAATCAATTTTTTAAGGATGGCCTGAGTTACAGAATCTGTAGTCTCAAGTCATGCTTCAAAGCACAGTGCACAGAAATACCTGACGTGCGTTGTCAGCAATATAATTGGTTGATTATGCTGCATTCTAGGTTTTTCTCCACCTTTAATAACCTCTTTTACTTCCCTCATCTAGTTCCCCATTCGTCTACTTTATCCTGCTCCTCATCTTCTTTCTATACTCTAACTCATGTTCTTGTGTTTACTTTCAGCTCTAGTTCCTTGACCTTCTCGTATTCTCATATATTTATTCGTATATTCATTCTTCTTCTCCTTCTTCTTCTTCTTCTTCTTCTTCTTCTTCTTCTTCTTCTTCTTCTTCTTCTTCTTCTTCTTCTTCTTCTTCTTCTTCTTCTTCTTCTTCTTCTTCTTCTTCTTCTTCTTCTTCTTCT